CCCACCACAGAGCCGCACGCCAGGAGGTGGCGAGGACAGGAAAGGACACTGGTGGGGGTGCCCCCCAGTCCTGCTGCAGAGGATGGGGGAGCAGCCCTCGAGGTGCACAGCCCCCCACATCCCTCCCTCCCGCCAGCTCAGTGCAGACCCCCGGGCACCCCAGCTCCTCCCTGGGGGCTGACGGCAGCGCCACCATGGCCTTGTGCAAACCCACTGGCGTTCCTGGGAGAGGGAGGGCACCCTGGCCGCCCCCCTCGACTCCTGACCCTGACACGTGACCTTTGCCACACACCTTCTCCCTCCGTCCCACGAAGAAGCCGGCCTCCCGAGACCTCCAGGACCCCCAGCTCCCACACCCCTCAATGCGATCTTCGGCCAGCAAGTAGATGAAGGCCCAGCGTCCCCCACGGCGGAGCCCAGCTGGCAGGGGCAGTGTGGACACAGACTCGGTGCCAGACAAGCTGGGCTGGGTCCCAGGCCCGCTGACCCACCTAGTGACCTTGGGCAAGGGTGGCAGCCTTGCCTCTAAAATGCAGCACTCGGTACTGCCGTCTCCAAGCCCAGAGCCAGCCCGACCGCACACACCAAAGCCGCCTGGCATAGGTAGTAGGTAGTACGACTGTCACCGTTGTTAAGTATCATTCGGGGCCTCTGCCAGGGTGAGGAGGGACAGCATGCCCCCCAGCCCGCCCTGAACAGTGTTCCATGAATGCCCAGCTGGAGGAGGGCTGGCCTCATCGCATCAGAAAGGAGGCCTGGCCGCCACCCAGAACTGCTAACACTCGTGGTGGGAGCCCCTCGCCCTGACCCAGAGAGAAGCAGCAAGTTCCCAGCCCCGCTGCCCCTTTGCCCTCCTCTCCCTTCCCCTCCCTCCCCTCCCCTCCCCTCCTCTCCCCTCCCCTGGTCTCCCTCTCCAAGTTGTGGCAGTGGCCTGGCCTCCTTGGCAGTCACTATTTCCACTGGCCCAGCGCTGGGCACAGGAGAGGGGGCAGGCCCTGCGGCGCCACCCTCAGGCCGCCCCTGTGCAGACACGGAGGCCACCAGGCTGCCACCCACAGCAGGAAGCTACGGGGACAGCTGCCCGCCCTGCCCGACCCCACACCCTCAGGCTTCCACGGAAGCCACACGGAGCCCAGGGGTCATGGGCTGCTGCCGTGCCTGTCTCAGGATGAGGCATCCGGGCGCAGCCAGGGACCCCGTGCCCACGGCCACCCAGCTGACCAGGCTCTGACCCTCCCCACAGCCTCACCCCTCGTGGGAGGCCAGACGCCGGCTGGAGGAGGAAGGCTGAGCGAGCCTTGGGGTATTTCACCTGCCAAAGAGCCAGGCTGGGGTGTGGGGGGATCTTTCAGCCAGAAGGAGTGCTGAGCGGGTGGGGGTGCCCTGGAGGGCAGACTCGGCGAGGGCCTGCTCTCTGCCAGGGCTGGGGCCTGGCCCACCTACCGGAGGCCCCTGAAGCTGGGGCCTCTCCCGCCAAGGCCTGCACAGAGCCGGTCCACACGCTCCCTGCTCTGAGCCCTGGGCTCGGCCCCGGAGCGCTGCCAGTCCAGCAAGGGGACGCAGGCCACACGCAATGGGCCCAGCACACAGCGAGCACCACGCAGAGATGACCTGGCACTATGAAAAGGGGTGGTGCAGTTAGAATAAGATGTCAGAGGGCCAGGCCAGGGGGCAGGTGTCTAGATGGCCAGTTTCCTGCTGCTGCCATCCCTTGCGGGAGCACCGGTGACAGAGACCCCACAGCACACAAACCCGGAATCAAACCCCCGTTTCCCTCTTAGTCCCTCAGGGCCCTCCCGAGCCCCAGACTCGCTGACGGCTGAGCCTCCCGCCCCACCAGGCCCTGTCCTGAGAGGTCAGGGTTCCCGCCAGCCCACTCTGCTGATTGATCTTGGAGGTCAAAGGTCAGGTCCTTCTGACCCAAAGCTCAGGACCAAGAAGGCTTAGCCTAGAGATGGTCGTGCCCCAGGACGGGTCACTTACTGAGGTCCCCCCAGCCCACAACAAGCGCTTGCCAAGCACCTGCTGTGTGCCTGGCACTGGGGTGTTTGAGACTCGGGGTGCACAGTCAAGCAGGGAGCACCACGCTCCCGCCATCCATCACAGCGCCCCTCCACCGTGCCCCCTGGCAGAGCCAGGCCCGGCTCCATCCTCCTCCTGGACACGCGACACTTCTCACTTTGTCAAAATAAAGCCTGAATCTTTGTGATTCATTTCTCCACTCCAAGACTCAATTTCCTCATCTGACAAATGGGGTAAAAACATTCCCTCCAACTAGCTCACGAGTAGGTGAACGGGCTTCCTCCCTGAGGCAGGGCCGCATGGTAGGGGAGTCCAGGGGCTCCTCAAAGGTGCCCCCTGCAGAGCCCCCGGGGGAGAGGGCTGGGGCTCCCAGGGGGACCCGGGGGACAGCAGGGTCCCAGGCAGCCACAGAAAGCAAGGTCTGGTTCCAGTCTCGTGTTCTACTCAAATATTGCTGCAAATGTGCATTCTGCCTTATCATTTATGGGCGTTTAGTTTACTGTAAAGATAAAGTTATAAAATATATTGATTTTAATTTCCCATGTAAATTACATAACTTTCCCCCCAGAAGTCACACAGACACACACACACACAGAGACACACACACACAGACACACACACACACACAGACACACACAGAAAGACACACACACAGACATACACACACAGACACACACACAGACACACAGACACACACACATAGAGACACACACACACATGACAAGGTAGAGCCCCAGGAACTGCCCTCTGGTTCAGGCCCCCTCTACCGTCAGACCTTCCAAATTGTGGGTCCGGAAGAGAGTAAACCACAACTGCTGCCTCCTTGGGCCCCTGAGATCCTGGGGAAATGTTCACATGTGCAATTTTCTCAAGATTCCCGGTGAGAAATTCTTGGACATTTCAGAGCCAAGCCCCATTCCACAGGCATTTTCCAAATACTGCCGAGCAGGCGTTGTGGAGGCACTGAAGCACAGCCCCTGCTCGACAGGAGGGGTCTTTTTCTGGAATGTCATTCGTTAGCCCCTTGGGCAACTGAATTCACCTCTCTGAGCCTCAGTTTCCATAGCTGCAAAATGGGGATGGTGGTGGTGACAATACCTTCCTTACAGCGTAAGGAACAAACCAGACTTTTCACCCCTTCATTTACCCCACAGTTCATTCCCGAGCATGTTCAAGGGGCCAGACCCTCAGCTGGGCCCCAGGGATACAGACAGCGGGACCCAGACACAGGTCCTTGTCCTCCGAGTGCCCGATCTAACCGGGGAGATGGACCTTAAGCACAGGACCACACGGCTGTGTGACTATCTGTCATGGCAAGAAGTGAGGTTCGGGGGTGACGGACATGTAAAGCGGGGGATCGGGGCACGCTCCCGGGGAAGGGGCGCACAGGCTGCGCAGGGAGGACGAGCAGGGCTCGGCGGACAAAGAGAAAGAGGGAGGGTTCCCAGGAGGGGCCGCGCCCCAAGCTCGGCGAGCACGCGGGGCATGGTGAGTTCAAGGGACCACGGGAAGCCACATCTTGATTGAACAAAGCGTTATCCAGAGGAAGCGTGGCATGGTCCAGGCAGAGAGAACACAGTACCCCAAATGCTAGCAATCGTTACTATTATTAATGGGTGTCACAGCACCCAAAGACGAGGCAGGATGACCAGGGCCAGTAATACGGGCACCTGGCGGGGGCCACCCCCTGCCACCCCATCCTGCAGCGTATGGCATCTGCCTCCCCTCCCGGGCCCCCCACTCCTGCTTTGGCCCTCTCCCTCAGGCCCCCTCCCCAGCTCTGGGCGTGGGTGGGAGACACTGCACTGGTCTCCACTGCAGCTCAGGCAGAAGTCAAACTGATCAGTCCCCGGTGTCACAGCCAGTAGAGCGAGGACCCCCTGAATGGCAGTGCTGAGACTCCCAAGACAAAGCAGAGACCAGCGGAGAACAGAGGCCCAGGGAAGAATGCAAAGCCCCCAGCACAGGCAGGGACCAAGACAAAACTGACAGGGACACAGAGACTAAGCGGGGACGGCTCCTGGAGTGGGAACCAGCTGCCACCCCCAGCACCGGCACCTCCTACCCCCTCCTGCACAGGACGCTGCAGATCGGCCTGGCCCTGAGCTGCACTGGGGCAGAACAGCCCCTGCAGGGACCCTGGAAGGTTCTGGACCATGAATTCCAGGGCGTCTGGCCAGGAGGGTGGAGTGGGGGCCGGAGTGCAGGTGGCAGTGCCGGCCCTTTAAGAGCGGAGGGCGGAGGCTTGGACCCGACCTGCCCTCCTGAAGGAGGCAGTGACTCATCATAACCCTCATCTCTGCTCTGGGAGCAGAGGACCAGGCCATGGCAGCAGTGGCGCCGAGAGGCACGGGCCCACCAGCCTGGCCAGAGCTCCCCGGAGGCCAGACCGTGGCCTTGACCATGACGCCTGCTGCTGCCGCCATCGGCCAAGGCCCGTCTCCCCGAGTGTGCCCGCGGCTCACCTGTGTTCCAGGATGCCCCATGGAGCCCCCTCCCCGCCGGGGCAGCCAGCAGCCCTGAGGGGCTAACCCACTGCATCTCCCGCCCACCAGGCTCCCCTGCGGCAGGGCCACCAGCACCCCGCACTGCAGACGAGGAAACCGAGGCTCAGCCAGGGGACTTGCCCACGCCCACATGGAGGCAAGACTTAAGCCGCTGTTTCTGGCCACATAAGCTCATCTCCAGGCTGCAATTGCTCGTCTATTCCCCCCACTCGTGCAGCGGGCATGGGGACCGCACAGGGCTCCCGCAATCGGCACCTGCCTCGTCCCCACCCACTCCAGCCCTTGAAACACTCCCATCGTCCCCCAGAAAACCCTCTCCCCTAACCCTCTGTGTGCCTTCTCAACTCAGGTAGGGCTGCCGAATTAGCAAACAAAAACAGATGCCCAGTTAAATTCAAATGTCAGATAAACAACAGATAATATTTTAGTATGTGTGGCAACCCTACCCTCGGGTCTCAACTAAAATATCACCTCCTCCAGGACACCCTCCTGGCTGCACCCCGGACTGGGTTGATTCCCATGGCACCGTGCAGTGCCCTGTCTCTGTGCCTGTCCCGGCCTGACATCTGCTTCCCACCAAACTGTGAGCGCCAGCAGGGCCAGAAATCCATCTGTCCAGCCTGCCGCGAGTCCCGGCATCTGCCGGCAGGGCTGGCTCCAGGAAGCTGTTCCACGAAGAAGTCTTTCTGACTCGGGGCGTGAGGGGCGGCAAGGCGGCCTGGGGACCCCCTCGGCCAGACTCGCCTCCCGCAGGACGCAGGGCCTCCAGCCCGGCTGGGCCTCCTTCCCGAGGGGCACCTAGCTCCTTTCTCTCTGCTGCCCGCGGCTCCACGGACTGGAGCAAGGAGCTGCGACTCACGACTCTCGGGGCCCCTAGGCAGGCAGGCTCCTCTCCTCTATTTTGACGGCCGCCGTTAGTTTTAATTGAGATCATGTTCGCTCGGGCCCAGCAAGGGCCTCGTCCCAGGCAGCCTGGAGACAATAGCGCCCGGCGTGGCCTCCCGGACCTCGGGCCGAGGGGCAGGAGCCCGGAGAGCACCGGCTTTGAGCTCTCCCAAGCGCCATCTGCCCATCACCACACCATATATTTTTGAACAGAAGGAAAGCATTCGCTTTTTCCCCCACAGTGCCAAAAATAGCCCCAGCTCCTGCCTTTGAACAGGGATCTTTTGGTTCCTACAAAAAGGCAGGAGCAGGAGGGCCAGGAAGGAGGGGCCTTGCTGGCTGGCTGGGGGCTTGGACCCCTCCTGGTCTCCCCAGCCCCAGGTGAGGGGGCCCGGGGAGGGCCCTGCGGAGGGCCAGCCACACCCCCACCCCGCCCCAGGCACAGGGGGAACCCACACCCAGCACCGCGGCAACAAAACGCAGAGCTCAAGATGGATGAGAGGAAACTTCATTCATTAGCCTGCTCATTTCTGTATTTGTTTTCTCATTCATCGCAGCGAGACGTGCAGCCTCTGTCCCAGGAGCTGGGACACAACCGCGCACCAGGCCACGAGGCGGGTGTGTCCTCACGGCTCACAGCTGGCGAAGGGGGAGAGTTAAACACGGCGTCACCACCACGTCCAAGGAGGACTCTGGCCAGGCCCGGGACGCCTGCCCTGGAAGTGGCCATGGGGCTCGGGGGCAGCTGAGCGTGCGCGGGAGTGGGCGTGACGGGCGGGAGGAGGAAGGGGAAGGTCAGAGGAATTGCTGCCTCTGAGTGGCCCCGAGCACAGCTCCAGGGTCACCACCAGCCTGGGCCATTTCTAGTGCCCACACTTCACACGTGAAGGCGCCCAACACAGAAAGGAGGGATTCAAAGGCCTGGGATGAGCCCAGCCCTTCCCCCTATATCCCCGCTTCAATTCCCCCGCGACCCTGGAGGCAGGATCATCTTCACAGGCCTGTTTACAGAGGAAGCGAGGAGGCTGGAGGGAAAGGGCCAGGCCAAGGTCCCAGCTAATGAGGAGAGGGACTGGGATTTGAACCAGGCCTGGCAGGTCCCTGGGAGGAGCCCCTGACACCAGACCCCAGAAAAGCCATCTCAGCTGAGCGTCCTCCCGCCCCAGTTCCGCAGAAGAGGAAGCAGACGTCCGAGAAGGAAGCACTGGGCAGTGCGGATCGAGGGATTTGAACCCAGCTCTGCTTGGTTCCCAGTCCAAGGCTCTTTCTGTTTTTCACAGCAGGTTCTTGATTGAAAAAAAAAAATAGCAGCCGGGCACGGGGGCTCACGCCTGTAATCCTGGTGCTCTGAGAGGCCGAGGCGGGAGGAGTTCGAGACCAGCCTGAGCAAGAGCGAGACTCCATCTCTACTATAAATAGAAAGAAATTAATTGGCCAACTAATATATATAAAAAAAAATTAGCCAGGCATGGTGGTGCATGCCTATAGTCCCAGCTACTCAGGAGGCTGAGGCAGCAGGATCGCCTGAGCCCAGGAGTTGGAGGTTGCTGTGAGCTAGGCTGACGCCACGGCACTCACTCTAGCCTGGGCAGCAGAGTGAGATTCTCTCTCTCTCAAAAAAAGCAAAAAGAGCCTCTTTCTGTTCCCAAAAGGCCAGAGCTGTGGCGGAGCTAGCTGGGTGGCGGTGGCCCCAAGGCTGGAGCGGGAGAAGGGTGCCCCGAGTCCACTTCCCTGCTGAAAACCCAACCCTGAAATGAACAAGCAGAGAGCTATTTCTGCCCTGGGTCAAACATTCCTCAAAGCCACATTCCTCGCGCCCTCCCCCTCCCTGCCAGGGGATGCAGGGCACCGTGGATGCCCCACCAGCCCAGAAGTGTCGGAGCCAGCAGCTGCCTTGCACCCCTCCTGGGCTCGCCCAGCAGAGGCACCTCCCGGGGCAACACGGTCAGGGCACCCGGGGGGCTGAGCAAGGACCTGACTTTGGATACCCTGGCAAGCCCCCCCCAGGGCTGCAGGCCAGGAGCACAGGTGACCCTCCCTGCCCAGGGAGGGGAGGGGACCACAGCAGCACAGGACAGCGCTTGGAAAGCGCAAAGCGTCACACAGAGGTCTGTTCCTGGCCTGCCCCGGGGGCGGGGGCGGCTCTGGGCTGAAGCACTGCAGAGACAGCAAAGGCCATGAGATGTGGCCCAGCCTTCAAGGAACTTAAGGTCGTGTGGCTTCCCTCTGTCACCGTGCCCTCCAGCCCACACTGCACCCAGGAGGACTCAGTCTCTTCTTCCTTCAACAGACACCTCCCGAGGCACCTGGGCCTGCCCGGCCTGGGGCGGAGCAGGGTGGCTGGCCTCAGTCTCCACGCCTCATGCCAGCTGCACCTGGCTTCCCCGGCGGCAGGGATGGTGCCACCGCTGTAAGCCCGGGCGCACTGCTCCTGAGCTCGCAATCGGGAAGATTCCGTGAGATCAGCGCAGCCCGGGCACGTGGTCAGCTCCCGAGCCCCCTGCGGGACAGGCAAGGTGCAGCCGCCACCGCACGATCCTCTCCACGCTCCGCACCCCCCCCCCACCCCCGCACCCAGGCCGACCTCTCACCAGGCCTCGGCAGACCTCTCACCAGGCCTTGGCTCTGCCTCCGCCCTGGAGGCAGCAAGGCAGGCACCACCCCAAGCCTCCTGCAGGAGGCAGGACATCCGGACCAGCAGGACCCTGTGTTCACAGCTGGAAGGATCCTGCCCACCACCCAGCCCCACGCCCGGCACCCGGGACACCTGGCCAGTCCTCGGCACCCGGCTCTAAGGTTCCGAGGCTCACAGGGACGGTGGGAGGTGGGCGCGTGGTGGGAAGGGCCTGGCATTGGCAGCACAGAGATCTGAGGCTGAGGCCCAGATGGCCACTTCCTGACTAGGGGACCTTGGGCATGTCCCTGAGCCTGCCTGGGCCTCCTTTTCTCCATCTGTATGATGGGCACAAGCATCTTGACTCCCAGGGCTTTGGGGAGTGTACTCAGCACACCTGGCACCGAATGCTACACGGTAAACAGTAGTCGTCATTCTGTCACTCCTCCCAGTGACACTCCCCAGCCACCGGCAGGGACCACCACGGCCAGGGCAGAAGGGGACTGAGAAGTGGCAACCTGTTGCCCGGCCCCAGAGCCAGCAGCTGAGCTCCCAGCCTCTGACGCGCTTCCTGGCCTGGCAGCGCCTCCTCCCAGGTGCCCCCACCCCAGGTCCCCTCCTCCCCAGCCGCCCCCACCCCAGGTGCATCTGCATTTACGACCCGCACAGAGCGGCCCTCACACGCCGACGCGCGTGCACGCAGACATGCCGCTCACCCACTCCTGACACGTGCCACGACCCCGTCACTCTCACTTGGCGTGCCCACGTGAAGCGGGACCTGCCCACATGCCCCGGGGCGCCCACCCTGCCTGCGACACCCACACCAGGCACCCACACCTGCTCACACTCACCCGCGCACCTCCACGGCAGGGGCCCCGCCACGGCCCCGGGGTTAAGGGTGCGGGCTCCAGCCTCAGGTAGGACGGGGAGCAAACCCCAGCTGCGCCAGGTGCCGCGTGTGCCGTGGGCCAGCTCCCGACCCCTCTGAGCCTGTGTCCTCATCTATGAAACAGGGACCATGCAGGGCTCCCGGGGGGAGTGGTGACAAACACCCGTGAACGCCGAGCACGGGCTTGGGTCACACCGCACATGCTCACTACCAGACTCCGATCCCCGTGCGCTGTTGCCTACAGATCCTCCACACCCTACGAGCCACCCAGTCCCATGACTGCCCTCTCTAACCCCACACACAGCCCTGTGCTGTAGACGGAGTGGCGTCCAGAGGCGAAAAACCAGGCCTGCGGCTGAGGCCATCCAAGGCCCCAAGTCCTCAGACACCAGAGCCCAGGCACACTCCACCCTGGGGCCGGGCACACCTTCCCCACCAGGTCTCAGCCCCTGGCAGTCTGAGCGTTGCACAGAAAGAGAAACTGAGTCCCAGAAGGGACTAGAGACTCGGAAGTCACTGTCCAGGCCACGACGGCTCGGGGACGGAAGCGCAGGCAGGCTGCTCCGTGCCCTCCAAGGCCCTGTGCACACAGGAGCCTCACACCCAGCCTGCCACAGCCGGGCCTCCCTCCGCCACTCGCCGAGCCCGGAGCCTGACGCAGAACGATCTGGCCACCGACGCGGCCAGGCCCCGAGGAGGCCGTCCACATCCGCCACTCGCTTCCAGCGGAGCTGAGGGCCTGTGACAGCTCGCTGCCAGGAACCGCTGTCCCCTGACACGGCCGGCCAAGCGGCCTCCTTCCTGGGAGAGCCTTCGCCGAGCACTCGGCGCACGCAGACCTCTTAGCCTCACGCACAGCAGCCGGAGCTCAGAGAGGTGCGAGGCTTTCCAGGGCTGCACAGCCGGAGGGCGGCAGGACTGCCCACACGCCCTCAGCGCTCCGCTGCCCTGCCCCTCAGCCAGGAGGTGACCCCGATTGCAAGTTACCTAGAAACGCCGCGAGTTAATCTGACGTTCTCTGCCCTGGTAAATAGATCACACGGGGAATGTGAAAATTGTTTCATCTTGTAATGACAGTAACAAGGATGTGCTTTTTAAAATTTATACTGTTGTTTTTTTTTTTTCATTACCAGAGTGCTGGAGATATTTAGGGCACGATGAACCGTATCAGAAGAGCTCAGTGAAGACAGCAAGACATCCCTCTCTCTACCCAACAGCCAACCCCCTGGCATGGCGTGAGGTGCCCCGGCAGGAACAAATCGGTACTTGCTGTGTGACCTTGGGGGCGCTACCCCACCTCTCTGGCGCTCAGTTTGTCCATCTGTGAAATGAGGGCGTTGGACTGCATGACCCCGAGAGCCTCCTCCAGCTCGGAGATTCTAGGATTCTATTTAACAGCAATCAAAGAAATGAACATTGAAACAGGAAGCTCTCTCTTTTCTTCCCCATAAAATTGGCAATGATTAAGAAAAACAATAATACCCAGTGCTGGCACAAATGCAGGGAAAACAGGCATTCTCTCATCCACTTTTACTGAAAATGTAAATTGGAACATCCTTTCTGGAGAGCAATTTAGCAGTTCTTAATCAAAAGCCTTTT